TTGGTCACTGACGGCGCCTTCTTGCCACGGCGGCAAAGGCACTCCTCAGAGATTGTGCACGTAGTGTGACTAAAGCTGTACTTCACGCGACTGTGTGACTGTGCATGAATCTTATTGGTGTTTCTGTGTATGCGCGTATTTTCTCTTGGGTCACCTCGACTTTGCCTGTGAACTTCTCGAGCATCAAAGCGATGCCTTTTTTTAGTAATGGAGTAATGCCACTTGGAGTAATGCTTGGAGTAACGCTTGGAGTAATGGAGTAATGCCACTTAGAGTAATAAGTAAGGAGTAATGCCACTTGGCCGCTAGTTACGGCGAGCGCAAGCCATGGATGCCCGCAAGAATGGAAGACGATGTTCTGGGGCAGCGCGTGCTCTGGCTAGTTGTTGTTTATTGAAGCAGCCATCTTGCCAGTTCTCGGTGCGTTTCTCCGCCGGCTCAATTCTTCCAAATTGAAGACCTTTCGTAGCACGTGACAATACATTATTGCCACAGTTACATTTTTCACTAACGTCTCTCTACAGTTTCAATGAGAGCACAATGATAAGCAGGGGAGACAAAGTCATTTACGAACCATTAGTTACATCTTGCAGTATCAAAGCAAACTACCACTGTTGCGGATGATTGTGACCGCGCGACAACATGCAGGAAAACCGAGGAGAAAGAAGAATAGTTAGGCATGAGCGGTTGGAATAAAGGCACGCTCTAGGTGTAGGGCTCGGGTCTTGAATACGCGACATCCGTATGGTGTCGAAACCCCCCCCCCCCCCCCCCCCCCCCGGTCACGCCCTTCGAAGACTTCTACTTCCGATGGCGTCGCCGGAGCGGCTGCGTAAGAAGCGTGGCGTCGTCTGGGCCAGCGTCACACGAACTATCACGCTGCTGACCGACGAGGTGCAGGCTTCCGTTTCCGATGCCAGTCAGGTCGACTCCCACGTTGCCTACCTCCCTCAAAGGAATGCCAAACTTGTCACCTTAAACAAAGAAATCTTCGATGCGACTGACGACGACGACTATGAGGAAGAGCTCGAAGTCGTGGAAGAATACGACCGAAGGGTCTCTTGCGCCGTGCCCTGAGCGCGTTTCTTCCTCCTAGAGGCCGCAAACAAGGCGACAGTAACAAGTGCTGCAAGGTCGGTAGCTACATCACCTAACGCCGAGGCCGGTGGTGCCAGCACCGCAGTCCAGAGTCAGGTCAGTGACTCTTCTCGAGTAGCCGATGAGATTCCCAGTCTAGGAACGATGCCGCATCATCACACGGTGGCCCTGCCGAAACTACAGATCCCAATGTTTTCCGGCGCACTTTGCGAATGGGAGTCCTTCTGGGACCATTTCAGTGCCACGATTCCTCTGGATGAAGACCTTTTACAGATAGAGAAGTTCCAGTACCTTCAGTCCTATTTGAGTGGTGCAGCAAAGAGAGCAATCGAAGGCATCCGACTAACCGAGGACCATTACAACATCGCGATCAAGACCTAGACGGAGCGATTTGGTCGATACGACTAGCTTGTCAACAAGCACATAGACCACCTGCTCGCCTTAGCGCCAGTCAAGTCGTCGGCAGACGTGGAGAAACTTCGCCTGCTCTACGACAAGGTCAACTTTCGAGTCTTTCATGTTGACCGGTTTGGGCGTCTCTCCGGACCAGTACGACGTGGTCCTCATCACGTCCTGATGAAGTGTCTGCCAGATGATTTTGCGATTCTCTACTGCCAGAAAGCGCAGGAAGCGCCGCAGGAAACGTCCGGCATCGCAACACTTGAACAGAGAGCTCGCCAGACTGCCGAATCGCTCAGTTTTCTGCGCATTCAGATTAAGGTTCGCGAGAAAAGCAGGCCAGAACAAACAGCGTCTGGTTTCTCGCAGTCACAGCCTGAAGAGGTCAAACCTTTGTCGGCACCAATGGGACATTTGCCTACAGTGTTCGCACTTGCTGCCGAACCGTGGAGGCCTTGGAAGTACCCAAAGCGTGTGCAGTAACAAGTCCGCCGCTCAGTACTGATGTTTCGCAGCTTTTGTGGGACATGAACTTGTCAAGCTGCAGACAACTTTCATCCCAACACCTGGAACCCACAAGAATTAAGCATTTTACTTGGTTCTGACGTCTACTGGAAGGTAGTAACTGGAAGAATAGATCGCTTGTCCAGTGATCTTACGGCCATGAAAACCAAGTTTGGCTGGACTGTTCAGGGCACCATAGAACGCGAGAGAAGTTCAGCATACATGAGCGCTCTATTCCTGTACTATACCACGAAGTTTGTCCCTAACGGTGATCTTTCTGCAATAAGTCGTCTCGGTGTCATGGGGACCAAGGCACCTGCCGAGAAAGAAACAAGCCTCCAACAGAACTTGAGGCATCTGAACAGGGCATCATAAAGTTGGATGGCTGCTACAAGGTTCCGCTAAAACTACCAGTTTTGGGTAGACATTCAGGCAGTGATCATCGAAGATTGGGAGAAGGCTATCCACATGTGCAACTGAACTGGTTCAAGAAACGTTCGGACTGTATAGACACCGTGGCAAGGCAATCAGAGAGGCATATAGCAAGAAACAGAAAAGGCGATTGGAAATACGACAGCCAAAAGATGATGGCTATTATCCGCCTCATCATGCAGTCATTCATGAAAATGCTGTCACACCAAGGCTTTGTGCTGTGTCTGGCACCTCAACGCACACGCTAGGTCATGCCTGCCACAACGTTGCCCTGCTGAAGGGTTCAAAGCTCAACGCTGATGTTGTGCAGTAGCTGCTCGTCTCCCAGAGGCAACCAGTTGTCTAGTGTAAGTTCGGGGAAGATCTTTGGTGGGAAGACAGGTCATACCGGATCACCCGCTTGACAGGAAATGCATTGAGACGGTCATTAGTGCTACAGCTTGAACACCGAAGGCCTCGTTGTTGGGAGCTGCGAAGTGTGTTCCTGTGTTGACGGTAGCGCATATTCAGTGCTACAATAGCTGAATGGGGCGGTCAGCGCACCCAGCAGAGAATGATATTGGGCGCATGCTTTAGAGTGACTAGCTTCTGGAAAGGCAAGAAAAGTGACTGGTTCAGTTAGCATATACTCTGGAGGGAAGCCAGCCAGACAAGTAATCTGGAATAGCGAGACTACCTCGTGATCGTCTCGGCCACTTAGGAGTATGTTGCAGATAAATGCGGCCGCGCGACAACAAGCAGGAAAACTGAGGAGAAAGAAGGATGGGAGTGCACGAGCGGTAGAACTAAACATGGACGTTATTGGTGTAGGGCTCGGGTCTTGAATACACGACAACCACTACTGAACATCGTCGCGTCTTATCTGCATAAGTATTTTGCTCAGCATACACAGATATCTAAAAACAAAAAGATGCATTATTAAGTTTTTAGTCCGGACCATGAGACATTCCTAAACATGATGTGTGTGCTGTAGCCAAAGTTACGACAAGTGGCCTTGTCGTTTTCATGGCTTCTTGTTGAAAAGTCAATTGCAACACCCACACTGTGTTTACGAATTTTTAACCACAAGCTTTCATCTTCTCCTTCTTGCCTTTTGTTCGAACTTCCAGTCTAAATCAGTTATTTGCCACACAAGCGAAACTTCATGTCGACAATTTAAATTGACACTGCTTTAAAATTCATTACTTTTTCTATTTCAATAGTGTTTGCACAAACCCTGAAAAAGAAGAAAGATTAGTAAATCTCGTTTGTTTTGATTCCGGCATTTTGGAGTCGCAGTCCAGACATGGTCTCATACCAATCACAAGTTTGAGTTCGTAATGCATTAGGCTGCCACTTACGGTGTAAACTGGTAAAAAAGTTTTAAGAAGCATCTACTACAATGCCTGTATGGCAATATCCAGAGGAAGTAATTTTCGGGTGATAACTGATAGTAATGCGTAATGAATAATTTTTGCATTATGTCCAGAGACAACGGTAAGAATGTGAGAGATGCCATAGTGCAGGGCTCCGAATATTTCTACAGCCTCGAGTTCCTTATTCAGTAAGGAATGTTCCTGCGCTTACTTCACTCCTGGCAGACATTGGTCCTCTACCGTCACTCACCGAACACTCTTACTCAGGTTCTGGGTAAATACTGGCCGTCCTGGCTATGGTTATTAACATGCTAAAAACACTGATATCAAGAAGAATGTGCCATTTGTTGGCTATATCTAGCACAATAAGAAGAACCCAGTTGAGGGCATAGCACGTGACATTGCGAGAACTCTTTGAGGTGACATGCGTAATTTTAGTGATCTGTTGCTGAGCAGATGAGTAACAGCCACGAGAAATAACACCCACAAATGAAATGTAAGAGCATTCCTAAAATCTTATTTTCAAATTGCAGCGATGCTATACATTAACAAATTTCTACTTTGCATGCATTCATCTTCTAGCCGTTCCCGCAACGTGCTGCCCTGAGAGCGCTTAGATTGTTTTTGGTGCATCGTCTCCGACAGCTGTTCCAGCGGTGCGACGTGGGGTATCGTGGTAAGGACACATAATCCATGCCAACCCCTCCAAATGTACACCCGCTAAGGAATCCGCTCTTCAGAAACAGGCAATACACTACTGAGAATGTCCAAACGAAACAACATTGATGGTGTACGTGTACGCTCAGGCACGCCATGTGCACATGACCTAGTTTGTGCATGATGTGTCAATGCACATGTGTGATGTGATACAGGGATGACTTCCTTGGAATAAAACTGTAGATACTTAATAAACAGGCGCGGTTGGTTGCTGTCTCAAAATAAATCAACAGGTGTTTCATACCTTTGTACGCACTGTACTTGCCGCTCTCTCACCAATTACAACGCACTAAAGAGACAGACAACATGAAAATTACTATGCTCACTATGGCAACCGTATTCCTTTATGTCAGCATTTTGAAGGATGATGACTGGTCGAACGCAAAAGCATTGAGTTGCTACCCTCATTTCATGAAACAGTTTGAATTGCCGCTATGGCACCTATGTGGCAAAGCTGAATTTTTCATAAATCCGATGAGAAACGCGAATACATACCTGAAAAACAAGTGTATGGTTCTGTTTGCATAGAAGTTGAAGATACGATTTTCTTTTCGTCCGTTTGGGATCCTTCGTGGTGCATAAGTAGCTGCACTTGAACCGATTTCTCTGTACTATTATTCGTTTCACACGCTGGCTCTGGTGATGTTTCCACAGCTTGTCCCAAATCACAAGCCAGACCTGGTGCTACTTTAAGAACTTCCTCTGTTACGTCATCCTGAAATTATATTGCTTGTTTTGTTACAAGTGGTAATGCAAAATATCATTCCGAGAAAAGAAGTCAAAGCCGCTTTACCTGATCTATTTCGCTATGATGATTTGGTTTTGACGTGTGTACGATGGTTGTGCCTCCAAGGAGCAACCATCCAAGAATCTGAAATAGAGCACAAAAAGACGAGTTACTGATGTGTACACACAAAAATAGGAACATATCGCATTCATTAGAATGCACGCTTCTTAAACATTTTTTAAATGATAAAATAAAACCAATTATACTTCTGTAAAATTGCCTAATCAAATTTATAATGCCGCACCAAGCACTGCCAAAGACAAAGAGGAGTAGTGGAGCAGAAACTTGATGAGCTTGGACAGTTCTATGGAGGCCGTGTCGGGAGGATGTTGCGCAGTGCGCCAATACAGTCTGCAAAAAAGATTTTAAACATAGTTTGTTCTTTATGCTGAAGATTCTGGAAGCCGGCCTTCATTCCTCTAGTTATCGCTTCTGGTCTGCCATGTCGTTCTGCAACCAGACCGTCACGAAGCGCGTAAAGAACAAGCAGGCTTGTCATTAATTCCAAAGTACAAAAATTGTGAATGGTGCAAAATAACTCATCCAATCTTGAAAATCAAGAGTTTTCGAAGCGTCATGCCCTCTATAGTTGATGAAAGGCGGTCATAGTCAGGAGGGCTGAACACCGAGCCGAAAACCTTCCCGAAGCACGACTCGGTAGCCAAATAAACAGGGAAGCACCGATTTCTTGTTGCAGAAATCTGAGGGATTCTTTTATTCTGCTGGTGCGAATTTTCGGTAACGATACTTGCGACAGTGAAGCCATTTCAAACTTTCTTTTTTCAAACTATGGCCACACACTGAAAACTAAGACATACACCTATTTTCATGATTGCAGCAACGCCAGAAGATTTTGATACCATTGTTTTATAAAGGTATTCTGGAAAGAATCTCTGCGCATAGAGGAATACTGTACTTGCTAATATTGTGACGGAATCGCAATGCTGACGAACGCAGAGACCGCGTGTCCAAACTGAAACTGTTTATATGGCAGAAATTGTGGTTGGTATACGGGAACTCAGATTACAGCGATGTGCACTGGCACTTGTACCAACAAAGAAAGCGTCGGCTGTCGGTACACTAACTAACGCTAATGCACATCGGCATTTATGCAAGTGCCCTTCAATATGCTATTACTAGGAGCCACGTAGGTTCAAGAGTCATCAGTTATGTTCACGTTGTGCCCTTAGTCTTAACAAAATGATCTACTGCGGTCCTGAAGCTTTCCAAACACAACAAGTGCACTTTTTGCGCTAAGAATTACTAACAGCGTAATGGGGCGATAACAAAAATTGACAAAAGAATGTGGATATCCTCCATGAAAGAAGCTAAGGAAGTTACAAAGGCAGCAGGACAATCGCTCACGAGTGTGCACAAAAGCATAGGATGCGGCACTGCATGTGTCAAAATTCTGTGAGCCCATGTGTTCAAGCTTCGGGAAAAGTGATGTGACTGTCCCAGTCTGCGTCCGGAAACCTAAAGCGAAAGTTGCATAAATATATAAGGTGAAATAAAATTATTTAGCAATACTACATAAATCGTGAAACGGGTATCATAATCCTAGTGCCATAAGAAATGTTTGCAACAAAAAAAAACACAAGCCACAAATTTGATGGCACCTCCTCTTTGGAATTTCTATTTTCTTTCTCATCAACTACATTATTCTCTACAGTGGACTGCTAGTTGTCAACCTGGTTTTCCATTCTTCAAGATTTTCTCATACGTTTTCATGGTCAGCTGTCTATGCTTTGTCTGAACACTTTAGTGTCTCAATTTTTTTTAGCAAGAGTAGCGTTCTGCTACATATTGTTTGACACTCTTGTGTTGAAATACTTTTTTGAAACTTTTTTCAATGTCGCTCGATTGCTACTTCACATCATGTACAAATCTTGAGTTGAATTTCATCTAGTTATTTTTCGACAACTGTACCACAAGGATACATCATAAGAACACACTCGCGTAAAAAAAAAAGGACCATGTCTCCGAAGGAAACCATGACGGGATGTGAAGCCAAAGCGGTGCGCACGGCGTTGACCTGGCGGAAAAGGGCGTCGACGCAGGTGCTGGAATAAAAATTAAAAAAAAAACTTGGTCTTTACTCGAGTTAACGTTTCTTTGAAATGCAAGAACACGGGATGCTGGTTGAGTTTCGTGCAAGTTTCACCACAGATAAAAGAGTCGAAAGAGTGTATTCACTCGACCTGCAGTCGAGCGTTACGGGCGTTAGAGAAGGTGAAGCGAGAGAGAAGTGTGTTTCGAGTGGGTGGAGGAGCAACAGCACCTTGGTGTATTGGGAGGAGCCGGCAGCTGCTGCAGGTGAGGGAGATAGGAACATCAACTCAAAGCTGCGACTTGACCTACTTGGCATTGTTCCAACAACTGCGGCGTGGAGAACGCAATGCGTGCGGCGCGCTAGCAAGGAGACACAGCTGGATAGCGTTACACAGGGTACTCCAAGGGTTTCAGCTACTTAGCATCTGAAACCACAGCATATCCGCGAAGTGAATGGTGATGAGTAGGTGAAGCAGTGGGATCATTTGGTGTTACCGTAAATCAGCTGTGACATTGACCGCTCATGCATTTAAATCGGTACCAAAGCAGTGTGCAATTACATACGATTATTGGTCATAAATTGTACATGGTGTTGAGTAGTGAATTTCATTTTGCCTTCATTATTACTGCTTTGTGGTACCAGATCTTGACCGAACTTGGCAAAGACGAGGTCTCCGAACATTACCTCGGTGGTTGTTTCCAGTCATATCAAATGCGTTGTAAAAAGCATATAGAGACGTCGTATACTACACAAACTACTCGTAGTCCACGATCATCATTGTTATTACGGCTACAGTGCACGCACAAGCCACCAACGAAAAATCCCAGACTTTAAAAGGACTGTCTACTCTCCATCACTGCTTTTCCGTTTTGTGTCGCAATAAAAAAACATACCATCTGAACTGCCTAACCCAGCAGCGGTTTTTCTGGAAAGTGTGTAAAAATTTTCAAAACAGAATTTTTTATTTGCGTTCAGCCAGCTTTCATTGATGGGATGAATGCCCACAATGCTCGTCCGCGTAGGCGATGACAATTGTACTGCCGGTGAAAGTCGAAAACTGAGCTTTATCAAGTTCTGTTTATTAATAAAACAAATACCTCAGTGGTCATTGAAGGCACGCACCCACTTTTTTTGTTCTTGTGAGTTTCTCCGACATCTGAGTGATTACGTCAAGTGAGGACACCTAGTAGCAATTCACAAAACATTTGATAACTGTATCTGTAAGAAACAAGCTATTCGGTCACCAATATTGTGTATTCGATAAACGAAGAGAATAAAAGAAGAAAAAGCCTTGCGCTCTTTGTTCATCAGCGTCTGACTGATAAGGTCATGTGTTCGAAGACTCCCATCAAACGCTGTGCACAAGCCGCAGTTAGACGGCAGATGCGATCATAGCTATACGATCGTGATACAATAAAATGGCAATGAGAAAAAGCTTGTGAGAGGAATGTTACGGTTATGTTTATCTACGCCTTGACTGCAGTTTGCTAGTGCGTCACTTGCAAATTTACTGAAAGGATGTCAGTCACAGCTGTGACACCCTTTTTATTTGCCCCTAGTACTGCTCTAACGCCACAGAAACCATGGCCGAAGCTTTTCAAAGCGTACCTTGTGTCGGTCAGGGACTGTGACTGGCTAGCAGAGCGAAAGGCAGCACCTGTTCTGACACCACTCTGAGTGGAAGGACTGCGTCTGTACTTTAAGAACAAAGCAGTCAAACAAACAACAGCAGTCAGCGTCGCTACGGACGCCCCACAACCTCAAGTTTCTACTGAACCAGTGTAGACCTCTGTGCATCGCACGGGGTATTGGATAAGTGAGTACACAAAGTTAATAAATGGTTTGGACTTGCTCTGCATGAATACAATGAATTTCATCGTTGAGAGACATCAGTTATGCACGAGGCTTCAGTTGACGTTTGAACCTTTCACCTACTATGTTTATGTTGCTCAACTCAAACAACTAGCTCTGACTTGTAATTTGCATGGACAATTTATGAACGCATGCAGGATTAACTTGTTGACGGAGTCTTCAACCTAGCATTGCGCGAGCGCTTCTCAAATTCCAGCTGAACACTTACGTTGGCCAAGGCTAAAGAAATTGGCAAAGCTAGGAAGCAACACACAAAGTTAACGCGGTTTATGATGGAGCACCAGTGCAATGCATTGACGAATTGCAATGTGAAATCGAACGCTAGATCAGCAGCGCGTCCTCCAAGCAACTTTCTGATTTTGTGCACCCGTTCGTGAGCCAGATAGTGTTCGACACAACTATGCAGCAACAGGCTCGCACCACGGCATCCGTGCCGCAGAAGAAGGTGCAAGAAGCAACCAAGGTAACGGTCACCGATTGGTTTGCTACTGTTGTGGCTCCATGAAGCACAAAGCAAATGCAAAAAACTGCCCAGAATGAAGACAACAGTGTCGCAAGTGTCAGAAACATGGATTGTTCACGGTTGTTTGTCATAAAACCGTCTGCAGAAGTTGCAAGGTCCCAAGCCCTAGTCTCCACCGCTGGAGAACATAGCGTCCTGAATTCACCACACATTCTTGGCATAGGATTGCCACTATGCAAGAAGGGACCTGTAGTTCACAAAACATTTAAAGAAAATATGCTTCCTCGTCTTATAGGTACTGGTGCCACAGTCACAGTATTCTTTGTAAATAACGCTGACTTTCAGAACTAGAAAAATTTTGCACCTTGTCTCTTTCAGCGCCGAGTCTTCAAAACTATTCTGGCAAGTTGATTCCTAGTCTGGGCACCTTCGAAACGGAAATTGAATACAGTGGCATGCGGGCAACAGTGACACATTACATCAGAGAGAAAGGTTTCTTGCTGCTCAGCCTCGACGCCATGAAGAAGCTACATATTTATATGGTTGGGTCAACCAGAGAACTGCACGGGCTGCAAACCGACCTGAGAGCTTGGCCTAGGTAAGGTATTGTTGGATAAAGCCCAGGCAGGGCTCGGGCCTGGGCCCGAGTCTGGCCCGTCCTATGCCCAGGTCTCAAATACAGGGTGTTTCAAGAAATATGTCCAATAATTATTCAAAATTAGCAAAAGGAGGCATCTGCGCGTTACTTGCGCCGTTCCCTATATTCTGGCATAGGGCATCTTCAGGTGCGTAAAGACTTCAAATACAGAAGTAATAAAAAAAGCTTAAAAATTAGCTTTTTATACAATTCATAACAATTGACTTTTCATTGCGGGCATTTTTGAAGTTAATCGCAAATGAGCTGTTTGGTGCGTGCAGGTTTCACTATTGCCAGCTAAATTAGCAAGATTTCGTTGCTGTGTGGTGATTACCAGCGCCCGCCTCTCCGAAATTTTAAAGTGGATATCGACTATTTGGAGGAAGAACATTGATTCACCCACTTGACTCAACCAGCTATTTACATTAGTTAAAGAGTTAAATGTTTTAATTGCTACATTTCTGCCGCAATTATTGTTCCTTCGCATCTGAAGATTCCTTCTGCCAATGTAAAGAAAACGTTGCAGCCAGGAAGCAAATGCCTTGTTTCCGTAATTTCGAAATAATATAGTCGCAATTCTTGAAACACCCTGTATATAGATATAATGATGGTCTACCACACACTGTTTTGTTTTGTGGTTTTGTGGGGTTGAACATCCTGAAACGACCCAGATTACGCGAGATGCCGTAGTTGAGGGCTTCGACTTATTCGATTTTTCAATTCAACTTCAATTTTTCAATTTTATTTTATTTCATCCAGAGGATGAGGGCAGGCTCGGGAGAAAAGTGACGTTTTGTCACTTGAGGAGAACCCGAGCCTCCCTAATACATGGCAAGCAACGTGGACATGGGTAAAGAAACATAGGTCATGAACATATAGGGAGGGAATGAACATAGGCCATGAGATGTTTGGCGCAGTACAAGTCGGAACATGCACGTACAGTAATGCTATGTACAGAGACTAATATGCGTAAATAGTTTCTTTCGGCACAAATTCCGAAGTACAATGCAAAATATGACAGAATACAAAATACTATATATATTACAACAATGCTATGCATAGAAATTCAAGACAAGTGGGGTGCATTGTCATTCACTAAAACACAGAACCACAGGTCGTCAAGTATTTTGCTTTGCTGATAACCTACACGTAATTTCAAAAAATTTTTAATACAAGTTTCCACCGTGATATTCAGTGAAAGATGCTCTTGAATGCCATAAGGAAAGGATTGCCAAGTGGTACTGCAGCAACTGCTAATGTTTTATAGTGCTCATAAAATGAGCGCGCTTGTATCTAGGGACAATTTTCCAGTCTGCAGATGCACTCGCATGCCTGCCACGCCTTTTACCGCCTGTGAGCTTCGTAGACTCGTCAACGTGACTCGTAAGTCATTCAAACCTTCGGAGCTGCTGTTGGTGCACTTTATATGCAAAATAAGGAAAAAAAAGATA